AAATTTGGCAAATAAACAGTGATTGTGTATTAAAATGTGCAGAAGTGTGTCTCTGTAGAAAATCTCTGTACAAAACGTGTAATTTGACCAGGAGGCGCACAATGTTTTGCATACAACTGTATATATGTAAGTAACTCTTAACTATGAGAACCAAAAATAAATGGTTTTGCTTTTTCACTTTTAAAAAGGAAACATGGAGTTTTTGTTAACAAAAAAACTCTTAATAAAGTCAGGAGTCAGAGCTGCAGTCAGAGTTTTTGTCCTGAAAATATATGAAAACACACACACACGTTTGTCTTGCTATACATATGAGGACATCCATAGACTTCTATTGATTTTTGTGTGACTGTAGCTAAATAACACTACACCAAAACCTAACCCTAACCTTAACCTCAGTATCCAAAAGGCAACTCTTTTAGTTTTCAAATAAAAACAGTACTGGTGAAAACAACACATGCTCAAGTGAGGACCAGCGTGTCCTCACTTGAGCAAAAATTTCATATAGTCCTATCATAGTGAGGACATGGGGTCCTCATAAGTATAGCACTACATACACACACACAGACACAGAGGCTGATGTCTCTTTATATAAAGCTCGTGTTCACACTGATCAGGGTCAGTGTATGTGGGGTGTTAGCTGGGTCAGGCTCTGAGGGGCGGAGCCTATTTCTGCCCCAGGTTCCCATCTGTCACACTACCCATGATGCCTCATGCTCCAGTTCTCCTCACGGCTGAGTAAACTTGGAACACACACAATCTTACACGCTTGTGCTGGTGTGTGTTTGGTGTGTGTGTGTAAGTATTTCTCCTCGTGGAGATCAGCCAACCGTCCCCACAACCACACAGTGTTCATGTTTTCATCATCCTGGGGGGATTCGGACCCCACAGAGAGATAAAAACACACGGACAAAAACACAATTGTCCATTTTTAAAAGAGCGTCTCTACAGAGGAAACGTTCCGTCTTTTCCTCTAACCTTCGGCGTCTCTACAGAGGAAACGTTCCGTCTTTTCCTCTAACCTTCAGCGTCTCTACAGAGGAAACGTTCCGTCTTCCTCTAACCTTCAGCGTCTCTACAGAGGAAACGTTCCGTCTTCCTCTAACCTTCGGCGTCTCTACAGAGGAAACGTTCCGTCTTCCTCTAACCTTCAGCGTCTCTACAGAGGAAACGTTCCGTCTTCCTCTAACCTTCGGCGTCTCTACTGAGGAAACGTTCCGTCTTCCTCTAACCTTCGGCGTCTTTCCTGAGGAAACGTTCCGTCTTTTCCTCTAACCTTCAGCGTCTCTACAGAGGAAACGTTCCGTCTTCCTCTAACCTTCAGCGTCTCTACAGAGGAAACGTTCCGTCTTCCTCTAACCTTCGGCGTCTCTACAGAGGAAACGTTCCGTCTTCCTCTAACCTTCGGCGTCTCTACTGAGGAAACGTTCCGTCTTCCTCTAACCTTCGGCGTCTCTACTGAGGAAACGTTCCGTCTTTTCCTCTAACCTTCAGCGTCTCTACAGAGGAAACGTTCCGTCTTCCTCTAACCTTCGGCGTCTCTACAGAGGAAACGTTCCGTCTTCCTCTAACCTTCAGCGTCTCTACAGAGGAAACGTTCCGTCTTCCTCTAACCTTCAGCGTCTCTACTGAGGAAACGTTCCGTCTTCCTCTAACCTTCGGCGTCTTTCCTGAGGAAACGTTCCGTCTTTTCCTCTAACCTTCGGCGTCTCTACAGAGGAAACGCTCCGTCTTTTCCTCTAACCTTCGGCGTCTCTACAGAGGAAACGCTCCATCTTTTCCTCTGACCTTCGGCGTCTCTACTGAGGAAACGTTCCGTCTTTTCCTCTAACCTTCGGCGTCTCTACAGAGGAAACGTTCCGTCTTTTCCTCTGACCTTCGGCGTCTCTACAGAGGAAACGCTCCATCTTTTCCTCTGACCTTCGGCGTCTCTACTGAGGAAACGTTCCGTCTTTTCCTCTGACCTTCGGCGTCTCTACAGAGGAAACGCTCCATCTTTTCCTCTGACCTTCGGCGTCTCTACTGAGGAAACGTTCCGTCTTTTCCTCTAACCTTCGGCGTCTCTACTGAGGAAACGTTCCGTCTTTTCCTCTAACCTTCGGCGTCTCTACAGAGGAAACGTTCCGTCTTTTCCTCTAACCTTCGGCGTCTCTACTGAGGAAACGTTCCGTCTTTTCCTCTAACCTTCGGCGTCTCTACAGAGGAAACGTTCCGTCTTTTCCTCTAACCTTCGGCGTCTCTACTGAGGAAACGTTCCGTCTTTTCCTCTAACCTTCGGCGTCTCTACAGAGGAAACGTTCCGTCTTTTCCTCTAACCTTCGGCGTCTCTACAGAGGAAACGTTCCGTCTTTTCCTCTAACCTTCGGCGTCTCTACAGAGGAAACGTTCCGTCTTTTCCTCTAACCTTCGGCGTCTCCACTGAGGAAACGTTCCATCTTGTTGTTTGTTGGAAATGAAAGAAAAGTAAATTAACATTTTTAACAAGCAATGTTCTAAGTTGTTTATTTATTGGTAAAGGGGAACTCCACTGATTTTTCAAAATTTCTCCATAACTCAGTGTGTGAGGTGTATTCAGAGAGATTCAGAGTGGTTTGGTGTGAAATGGTTCAGATGTCTTTACAGTGGTGGTGATAGGAACCAGGGGTCGCCATGACTACAACACAAATATAGACATTTTATTTACTATCCAGAACCACCAGTGAACCTACACGAGTCTTCTGAGTCTATATGGAATGTTGATGATGGGAAATAGTGGAAAATCTGAAATAATCAGTTTTCTTTGGGGACTATTTTGCCTCACAGCGCCCTGCATGTATCCCTCCACCATGAATGGAGTTTAAGTTCTCTAAACTATCATAAACAGTGTCTCAGTCATCAGGCAGTGAATTCATAACCATTTCATGTAGGAACTTTCTGTGAGGGAGCTTTTAGAGGTGGACGTCTGGTTCCTATCACCACCACTGTGAACAGTTCTGACTCTGTTTCTCTAGAACAGAGCATTTCACACCAAACCCCTCTGAACGACTCTGTTTACATCTTAACTGTTTAATTATGCAGAAATTGTGAAAAATTGTACAGGTTAATCCTTTGCATATCTAGTATCTCCAGTTTTCTGAAACAGATTAATAAACTGGGATTCTTTATGTTTATTTCCTCATTCCCAGCAGCCTGTTAGAGCAGAGAAGATACAGGCCATGAAAATCCTGTTTTTTCCTCGTTCAATCTCTAAAGGCAGTAATCTTTCCACTAAGTCTGAAGTAATGAGTAGCAAATCCACCAGAGATTAAGAAACAAGGCTCTCCCGAGGCTCCGTAAAGCGTCTCTCTCTCTCTCTCTCTCTCTTTTCTTCTGTCCATCTATCGCACCAAAAAGGCTTCTTCTATTGTTACGATGTCAAGCTTGTAATAATAGAAGAAACCCTTTTGGTGCTACACAGAGCCCTTTTCTGTATAAACCTTCTACAGCACATTCTCCATCAATCTGAAGAACCATTTCACGATGCAAAGAACCTTTTAGTCATGCAAAGAGTTCTTTGAGTGTTCACGGTTCTATGTAGAACCATTTTCCCTACTAAAAAATCCCTTGAAGAACCATCATTTTTAAGAGTGTAGACTAGGTTTGTATGTGTGAGATTAACCACAGAAACAGTGTCTACAATATCGTCTGAAATTGGCTGATGATATTGTTATTGTTATTATTATTGAGTGCCGGCAAGTCATTTTTGACTCGTGGCAGCCATATGGACAGTGTTCCTCCAGCTGGTTATACAGACTAATTTAAATAAAGTAACCTTATTTTGGGAAACTAGGATTTGGAGCTCTCCACTACGAAAGAAAGTGTAATTTTGTAGATATCAACTTTACAATCTTTAAAAACATTCCAAAACATTGCATTCTTAAAACAAGTCTTGGAATTTTTCCTTCGTAGCAGAGAGCTTCATGACTTTTCCAGCTGATTAATCTCAGAAACACAAATCTGTTCTTCATTTCCAACATTTTCTGGCTTGTTAAGAGTTCATTGTTTGCAGCGTCCCCAAATGAACAGCTGAATTATTGTTTTTTGTCATTTTTAAGTCGTTGTGTTTCTCGTTAGCGGAGTTAGTGAAGCAGTTTGTTCTATGTGGCGTATTATCATATCACTGCTGTTGGAAGAAAACCTTCTATCTACATTTTGTCCATTTTTTTGTTTTCCAGTTTTTGACATTATTTGAAAATGCCTGTTGATCTTTACATTGTGTGTAAATTTCATGATGAATGGATCAAAAGAAACGACCCAAAATTACTTGGAAAAAAGTCTGGTTCCATTGACTTACATTAAAAGTGAAGTAGGTTTTTTCCTTCTCCTGTAAAGTTACCATTTTGGAGATACGAGGTTTTGTTTCAACAACAGCGATATGTCTGTTTTGAGTTTCTTCAGGAATGTATTTTATTATCCAGTATTTGAGCTCATTTCAGGAAATTTTGTACTGAATGAGGTTTTGAGAAAATGCCTAAAACAAGATTCACCTTTTATCACCATTTCTGCCATTTTTACATTTTTGCATTATTTGAAAACCCCAGTTATCCTTTGAATTGTGTTAAAATATCATGATAAACAGACAGAAATTGTCCGACGTTACTTGGGAGAAAAATCTTCTTATTCCAAGTTAGGAATGTTGCTTCTCCAGTAAAGTTTCCATTTTGGAGAGAGGAAGTTTTGTTACAAAAGCAATGTTTAGTTTTTCCTAAAACAATGCATTAAACCAATGAAATACTTTCAGATATTCAAATCATAAAATGAAATTTATGAAATGAATTTGTTGGTAAAAAGTAAAAATTCTCACTGAATTGCCAGATGATTTTGCTTCATTCTTGATTTGGTTTTGTTTTACCTGATTTTTGCGGTGCAGTCCTGCAGAGTGACAGCTGTAAAAAAGTTTTGTACATATTTTGTTTCTTAACTTTCTTCTCTCTCCCTCCCTCCTCTCTCTCTCTCCGTCTCTCTCTCTTTCCCTCTCTCTCTAGGGAGGCTGCCTCAGGTACCCAGCGGACCACCACGGTGACCTTCGCCATCCCATCCACCCCGTCCTCCAGCCTGCCTCCGCACGTGTCCAGCCCAATTTCATCACCCCCCTCCGCAGGCCACGCCTCCTCCCTACCAGGCTCCTCCTCGTCCTTGCCGGGCTCCGCCTCCTCTCCCACCCTGACGGACGTGTTCGGCCTGCCCACTCCGCCCCTGGGGAGCCTGGGCTCAGGCAGCAGCCGCTCGCCGTCCCCGCTGACCCTCCTGCAGGCCGCCTCCAACAAGCCGTTCGCCAACAAACCCATCCTGCTGTGGACGAAGCACGATGTAGCCGACTGGCTGGAAAGCCTCAACCTGGGGGAGCACAGGGACACCTTCATGGACAACGAGATCGAGGGCTCCCACCTCCCCAACCTCCAGAAAGAGGACCTCATAGACTTAGGAGTGACCCGCGTAGGCCACCGGATGAATATAGAGAGGGCGCTCAAGCTGCTACTGGACAGATAAGGGGGGGTGGGGTCACATCATCCGTTTTCTTTTGCGGACCAAGGCGCTTTTTTCAACTTGTGTTCAGTGGGAGAGGCGCGTTTGCTCGCGTCCTGTGCGCCCCGGGCGGCCGGCTGTCTTTTTTTGTGCCCCGAGTTGAAAAGACCTTCAACTCAAAGCGGTCGAGTAGCCTACGTCATGAGCGCAACCAATCAGACGAACGGGAAGGCGGGCCTTCGGTGACAGTTGTTAGACGTGGAGGAGGGGCTAGTGGTTGCGGTCACTGAGTACCCTGAACTTTTTACGATTTTCACGGAGCGAAATTATCACAACATATCGAAACGGTAGCTGGCCAGCAAGCTAGCTGTGCTAGACGTCACAAACCAACTAGCTTCCTAGATGCTAAAACGCAGCTGATGCTATTGTTGCTTGGAAACAAGGAGAAATGGAACCAGAAGCAGAATCGTGAACCCCCAAGAAAAAGAATCCCCCTTAAGGGAGGGTCCAGGGCTTTCCCCTTATATCTCCATCCCTCTATTTGTTTTACGTGCTGACCTGGTATGTGGTCATGCAGTTAGCGAGGCCGAAACAAGACAGGAGGACCCTTCGTAAGGACGTCCCTCTTGCGGCTCTTCCACTGCCCAGAGTGACAGTGTCCAAGAGAAGTCTGCAGAGATGACGCTCTGGTCTGGGAAGGCCTTGGTCCAGCACAGTTTGGTCACCTCCTTGGTCTGATGCTGCTTTTTCTGTTTGCAAAATTATCGTAAATACGGTCCCCCGATAACGGTGCGATATATCGTTTGTGTTTGGTATCACAATGTCAGTCTTCGTGATACTGATTTTACAGGAGGCTCCAAATATACAAATGAGCCTCAAACAAATCCCAATATTTAGGAGCATTCCAAACAATCTGGGATATTCCCGATCAGTGTTTGGATGAATGGAGGCATCAAGTAATCAAGGCAAGTTTATTTATTGAGCACATTTCGTACACAAAGGCAATTCAGTGTGCTTTACATAAATAAAAGCAAACGGGAACATCAAGAGGAAAGTAGAGAAAAAAAGAGTGTGAAAAGATACAAAGTGCTTTAGCTTAAAGAACTAGAACAGTTCATTTATAAAGGAAGTACAAAGTCCATAAAAGCAGAATAAAAACAGAAAAAGACAAAAGGCTTTAGTATCATTGAAATTAGCTTATTAAAGGTAATGTAGGATACGGGCCCTTTAAGGTTCTGTTAAAGGGCCCATATCGCTGCTGTTGGAACAAAACCTCGTATCTCCAAAATGGTAACTTTACAGGAGAAGGAAAAAACCTACTTTACTTTTAATGTAAGTCAGTGGAACCAGAATTTTTTCAGAGTAACTTTTGGTCGTTTCTTTCAGTCCATTCATCATGAAATTTACACACAATATGAAGGGTAAAAGACATTTTCAAATTATGTCAAAAACTGAAAAATGCCAAAAATGGAGATTCGAGGTTTTCTTCCGACAACAACGATACACTACGTTTTTATTTTTTTCTCTTGAGATCCACTTACAATATTTTTTAACATTTGTGTGGTTTTATGTACCAAAAATTATCATATTTCATTTTACATGACCATTTTCCAACTTCTCTGTATCTCTTAAACAGGCTGTTTTTGTTACTGTGCCTTTAAGACTGATATATGTAAATGAGCTCTGTTCTGATTGGCTGTGCCTCATTCAAAAAGCAGTCCTTATAACTTCAGCAAGAGTGGGTGGGGCTAAACTGGTTTAGGGGGAATGGACCGTTTTCTCAGTCACTGCTTCGTCACGTCCACCTGTAAACAGTAGCGTTATCGAACTTCCACCTGCACCGTTTAACAGAGCGACAGTAGAGGGTCTCCGGTTTTCAGCATCCCTCAAAAATCGTCCTTCGGCCTCAGCTCAGTTAATAGAAGAGCAGTTTGCATGTCTGGTAGCTCCTCTAACATGAGCAGAAAGGCTAGTCTGACGTGGCTGAAACTCGTCACGCAGAACTTAAAACCATTTGGACTCTGTATGAATCTGCGCATCTGTCACTGTTTACCACTGAACTCAGGGGCAGCCTGGTAAACAACAGAGCCACGCATCCCACGACTGAAAGCGCAGCTCCGTGTCAAAGCAGGTGCGTTTAGACGACGGAATGTATTCCGCAAAAATCCGCGTCGGAACTGTGAGGAATCTGCCTGAGACAGGTTTGCGAAGCGGAGAAGAAGCGGATTATTATGTTCATCACCAACATCACACATCCCTAAACAGACCTGCACTCACTGCGCTCTATTCTGGAGAAAAAGTCCAGCAGGTTTAGTTTTTCCTACTCAGCCCATGTAAACATTAGCAGCATTAGCGAGAGCCCTGAACACCATAACCAGCTCAGAGACACAGCGTCGTATTTCTACAGTACAGTTACTGATCACCGAGCTGCAGTGGAGACGAGTCCGTTTCTCAGGGTTTTAATAAAACCTCTGTGACGACCATCTCCAGGATTTTAAACTCAGCAGTGAATGAATGTCTGTCTCAGAGCATTTTAATCACAGATGTGAGTAAATCTGTCCTGTACAGCCCGTTTTCACTCTACAGCCCAGTTTACTCTCTTTTTTGATTGGTTGCCTCGTTAAATGTGACACATGACGAGCAGAGCTTTACGGCTGAAGTTGAACATTGTTAAACCTGATCGAGTGGAAACTCAGGTGAGGCTGTTCAGTTGAATTATTGGTGCATTAGAAACGCAGCGATGATTTCAGGCAGTATCAGCCATTGTTTACAGCGCAACCGGAAGCCGTTTAGTGCTACCATTTACTCTTCCGCATTAACGAACATGGAAGTGTGAAAGTGGTCTATAGGTGGACGTATGTAAATGAGTTGGTTCTTGCGACATCACAGAAACAGCAAATCCAAAGCAGGATGTTTTTGCAGCTTAGTCTCCAAATATGGACTCTTTCAAAATTCCTTTCTTATAAAAAATCAGGTGGTTTTATGTGATATTGGTCCATTAAAGTGAACTGTCGGACTGTCTCTGTTCCACTGCAGTGTAAATAGGTCCTCAAAAAAGAAGTTTGGCTAAGATAATGTGGTCCACTGATGTTCTAAATTGTAATTGCAGTTGTAATATCTAGCGATTTTATTGCAGCACTCATGCTGCCCCAGTTTGCAACCTGAAAGTTGCACACAAAAGTTTCCAGACTTAAATTTTAGTGCACAGTTTCTATTTATTTGCTGAATTTAACATGTAGGGAAAAAATATGTGCCATAACTTCTGCAAAGCTCTCATTTTATGGTATATTAGTTTCCCCCTGTGTGTTGAATTCAGTAAATAAACAGTAACTGTGCAGTAAAATGTGCAGAAGTGTGTTCTCGGTAGAGGATATATAACTTATTTACACGTGGCTTTTGACCAGGGGTGCAAAAACTTCTGCACATTTAACTGCTGTACATTTTCACAGTGAGGGGGAAAAATGTATTAAACATATCAGGCTAGCTAACATTAGTGCTGCGTTTACCGAATAGGTGCATCCACTGAGCACATAATGCAGCACGACTCACCTTTTGAATCCTTTACGTTGATTCAGTTCAGTATGATTCGTTAGTGAATCATGAAATCACAGATTTCACCACAGTCCACTTCGATTGAGCTATGCTGGTCCAACGCAATTTAAAAATAAAAATGTTCTGAATGTGACTGAAGGAGCTGTTTGGACAGTAGTGGAATATAGACAGTGAAACAGTGAGCTTTAAAGGGACATATCACAGAAAACCAAATTTCACACGGTAATTCTTTTCTTTTTTTTGTTTTTTTTTGAAGGAAGAGTTTGACAATTCCCGGCCGGGTGACCAGGGTCATTTCTGTGTGGAGTTTGCATGTTCTCCCCGTGTCTGCGTGGGTTTCCTCCGGGTACTCCGGTTTCCTCCCACAGTCCAAAAACATGCAGTCAGGCTGATTGGACATGCTAAATTGCCTCTAGGTGTGACTGTGTATGTCTGTCTGTCTGCCCTGTGATGGACTGGGTGTATCCTGCCTTCCTCCCAATGACAGCTGGGATAGGCTCCAGCACCCCACCGCGACCCAGAAGGATAAGCGGTTTAGATGATGGATGGATGGATGGAGTTTGACAATACAGTCCATATATGAAACTAAGCTGCCTTAAAATTACTTTTGTGATGTCACAAGAACCAACTCATTTACATATATCCTGTTCAGCCTACAGCAGTGTAGCCCGCCCACCCACACTGAAGTAAGGAGTGTTTCAGCTCTGAGTGCTTTTTGAATGAGGCATAGCCAATCAGAACAGAGCTCATTTACATGTATCATTCCTAAAGGCACATTCAAACCAGCCTGTTTATTTCTAAGGGATAAAGAGATTTTTATCATTTTTGGTACGTAAAACCACATGGATGTTTTTAAGTGGACCTCAGGAGAAAATATAAAATGAAAATACAAGAAGAAAATGTGAGATTTGGGCCCAAGAAATGTAATTTTGGCCCAAAAATAAGGCACATGCTTCTCATCATCTACCCGAAGTTAAGCCCCACAACCCCTCATCTGTTAGAGAGGAAAATTTGGTAACACTTTACTGTGGGGTTCTGTTCATAAGGCTACATAACACCTACATAAGCTCGTCATGGCAACTGACATAATCATACATAAACATTTATAAATGCTTATTCCAGAATGATGCCTGTTGGAATAAGCAATTATAGACATTTATGTAGGGTTATGTCAGTTACCATGATGAGCTTATGTAGGTGTCATGTAGCCTTATGAAGAGACCCCTACAGTAAAGTGTTATTGAAAATTTTTAGTGTATGTACATTTTAAAAGTATATTTTCTTTTTAAAACAAACACAAAATATAGAGCAATGTTATAAAATACATTTTTAAAAGCTCAATTTGAAACCGACCTACCTTATTTGTGTATTTCGCTACGTTCACATTACAAGCCTCGTTGCTCAAATCCGATTTTTGCTCAAATCCGATCTCTCTGACACGATGGTTCACACTCGTTTAGGTAAGTGACTCAAATCTGTCATTAATGTGATGAACCGGCGTCCTGAAATGACCCTCATGAGCTCATCCTACTCAGTAACGTCACGTGAATGAATCACGTTCATCATCAGCACAAACTAACGAGCAGAACGAGCTTCGCTGAGAAGATCATTAACTCTGATCAGCTCTCAGCTTCATTATTAGAGCGAGACGAAGGAGAAAAAGGTGAGATGAGCTGCTTTTCCACCGTTTACAGGCTTTAACTTCTGTTCGGCGCTGCTGCCATGGTAACGCTGAATGATGGCGCATGCGCAGTGGAAATAAAGCACATGAATTCCGATCTGAGCGTCACATTAAGGTCGCATGGCCACGAATCGGATACGTATCTGATCTAGGACCACATATGAAAGTGATTTGAAAAGATCAGATTTGTGTCCACACAGCTCTGAAAACATCAGATCTGAGTCACATTAGGGCAAAAAAT